GAAGATATATAGTGCTATCTGCCCTATAAAATAATTCAATGGATGTGAACCAGAGCTAGACCAGGAATCATTCTCAGTCACTCATAGACAGTTGCTTGAAAACTAGTCTCCTCAATAAAACTGTCTCCCACACTTCCCAACATGACTCACTTTCTTGCTCCTGTTATAAATAACTGTACCTGAACCTTGGCACCATTTTCCACTTCAGTCACAGAAATTATGCAGGTTGTTCAATGGGTGTTGAAAATCTGTAAGCCAGAAGGTGTTCTCAAAAGATAAGACTACTGCATTTTCAACTGAGTACTTCTGCAGCAGTTAGCTATGTCCTGTGGTACCTACATCCCAAAACTAAAACCCACAAGGTGGTAAAGCAAAAGAACCAGCAAAATCACCCTATTTTCCCTAATTATCTTAGCTTTGTTACATTGAACTTCAGAGTGTATAGCATGAACCGAATCAAAAGATTCTCTGCCTTGAAGACTGAACTAAAATTTTTGCTTTTCTTTACCACTGAATGAAAAAAGCTTTGTTTTCACTTGAGAAAAGTTGTTGGAGATGCAGCTCAACAGATGCAAGGCAAAAACAATAGGGAGAATTTACATGCCTTCAACAGAAAGGTTGTTTCTGACAGAAACAGAAGGAGATTGCAGTAGATTACTAGTTTATTAGGAAGAAAAAAAATCAGTAGCTTCTCACTGACGACATTTGCTTCTTTTTTGCAGAGTGCTAATTCAGCTCATCTCTACTACAAGTTTTATTTTCTTTTCCTATTTACTTCATCAGCTGATTTCAAGATCTCATAGGACAGGGCAATGGGGTTGATCTAGGTCCTGCTACTATATTCTGAGTATCAGAGACCTAATAGAAGAATTACTTAAGCTGATCTCATTTGTACTTTTGTTTTCAGCTGTGCTTTTTTCCTTCTCTTTAATCTTTCCTATGCTATTTCAGAGTTTTACTTTCCAAAAGAAATTGAGAACAGAGCTCACTGTAATGGCAATAGGTACTGGACAGAAACAAAGGAAAAAAAGCACTTAAATTGTTTAGTTTCTTGTGAGATCAGATAATAAAATACAGATAAATTTTCAATCATTCTAGGATAGTTTGAGATTCTATCTCTTTTCTTTGATGCTGGCTATCTGCTGTTTTTCTAGATTAGGAATCATTGTTTCCATGGTGAAAGCCAACACTGAGAATCAAAGACTTGAGAAAACATTTTCTAGACATTATACTTAATTGTATTCATATCACATTTGATTACTTACACCAAGGAAGGAAGAATGGAAAGACAAAGCACTAACAGTTTCTAGACACTTTTGTCCCCCATCAATGATTGTCTTTAGGGATCAAGGCAAGTGATAATACTAAGGTACTGGTAACTTGGTGAAATCATGTAAATTAGCAAAAAAGTACTGTGAAAATTTATCCTGAGAAAGAAAAAAAAAAACCTCCTGTTTTTTTTCTTGGCAGTGTGTTCCTACGATGCGAATAACCTCTGTAGACTGACACACTGAAAAGACTAATTAGAGCTATTTACCCATTTTCTGTAGCTTAGTAATGGGCACTATAATTTGGAATTTCTACAGCAGTGATATTAAAAACACTGCCAACGATTACAGTACTGATAATCCTTTGGATGTGGGATTAATAGGACTATGTGAGCTTTACATACATACCCATCTACATACATATATAGATATCCATCGATATACAATACATACACATCTATATACAAATGTAATTTAAAAATGGGTATAGTATGTAGGACTGGGGAGGAAAGGACAATGCTAAGTTATTGCACACAATTTTCAAAGGCACATGTATGGTTTAGAAGCGTAAGGGCCAACTAATGGTGGAAAGAATCACAGAATCCCTAAGTCATCTTTAAAAAAGCCAACTTTTGAAAACTTCTTCATAAGCTGCCATGACATGAGCCAATTGATCAGAGGTAAGAACAACCTTGCGACACAGATAAGTGAGAAATGTTTGTAGAAATATTAGCTGCTAGGCATTACTGAGCATCTAATTTTACAGAAAGAGGTCATCTGTACAGATCCAGAATTGTAGCTTCTATATTGACATATGTACCCAACATCTGTCATATCTTCACCTCCTTCATGAACCACCTGCCCTCTAAGGCTCCAAGCACCGTAAGGGCTTTCTGTGTGGGCAGCATTGATCTGTGTAGGTAAAGCCATGAGTAGGCATGAAGAGATTTTATTTCCTTTCCCAGACCTGACACTGGCCTGTTGGGTAACCCTAAATGAATCAGTTTACTACCACAATTCTAGTGTCTCAATCAATACATACTGTATCTTCTAATGAAATAACCTTCTTTACAGTGCAAAGTGTATTGGGGTTAAACGTGAGTATTTATTAATTTTACTGAAATTAATTCATTTTATAGGGATTATTTCATACCTGACTGCATTAGACCATAGCTGCCTATACAAGTTCATTTTCATATAAGCTCCTTTCAATATAGTCTAACTATGAATAAGCCTTGCAGACATTTTCGTTTCTTTTACGTTAAATATTTAACATGGGTAGTCTGAATTACAAGAAACATTCCTCTCAGGTGTCACTTTTATTAACTAATAATTTGTTTAGTTATTTTGTGAATTATAGAAAAGGAGAATAACAGCACACATGACTAGTAGCTTGAAAAATACTTACAAAAGGTGAAGTATTGAAGTATACTTCAATATTCCAATGTAGCTTCTTAACAAGTGGAAAGAGTCTTGGGATTATGGTAAAAAATATTTGCTCACCTCTTAAGCGAGAATGCCCATTCCCATTTCACCAGGAGCCTAACCTTTATTTAACCAATCAGTTATCCAGCAGGGACCAGCTTAGGCCCTACTGTGCATTGTCAGACTCAGCAAGATACCTTGAAAATAAACCAATAAGAGAGAAGGAATCGTACTCATTTTTAATGCTACAAAGGACATTATTATTCATAGTTCAGTAACTTTATGGCAAGCATAAAGCTCTTGGAGAAAGAAAGAGTAACATATCTGAACATTATTTTCATTGGAATAATTTAAATTCCAACAAGACTAAAAAATAAGAGAATATGAGATTAAAAAAAAAATCACATTTGGGACAAAAGGCAGAGAATATACATTACTAAAAAGACTGTCTTGAAAGAATGACAGAGAAGCATGCATAGAGGAACCCTGAAAGAGACTTTCAGGAGTTAACCAAGGTCAGGTAGTTATCTTAATTCTTTGCATACAGTGGTACATTTTTTAGTCCAGAGTTTTGGAACCTGACATCTCAGCAACCCTTTAAACTACTGTTATCTTCATTTTACAAGTAAGTAGAGAGAGGTACAGATCTGAGAAAAGCACCATTGTCTAAATTGCCCAAGTGTGCTGAGAGCTGCTCCATCCTAATTTCCAGAAGTAGAGTCCCTGTCTCTGTCTGAACCAAAGCGAAGATCTGCAGATGGTACAGCTGCAAAAATGCAAGGCTCATCTGTGTTACTGCTGAGCTGCTACAAGAGATCTGAGTTTCGTGATCCTAGTCCCTTCCCCAAACACTTTGCAGAACTTCCCAATTATAGCTTGCTGATGGTTGTATTTCACCAATAAAAGTCAATTGACTCATGTTGCTAAGGTCATTTTACACTACTCTGGCAGCAGCAAAGGTGATTTAAATGGATATTCCATTTTCATTCACTTTAGGGCTATTTCTGATTGCCTGAATGGCATCAAGAGACTCGAGTGTAACTGAGAAGCAGATTAATCTCAGCTAGAGCTCTGGCACTCTGGAACTATGCACTGCAATATTAATATATCCGAAAATCATAAACACTTGTCTCTGAGAGCAAATCAAGAGATGGAAATCTGGGACTGGCCTGGAGAGGAGAGCAGAGAGGGTTTCCTCAGTGGTCCCACCACCCTGCTGTGACTTCACTTAGGGGAAATGGGCCCAGGCTGATACTGTCCCAGTTGTCCCTCCTACAACTAGGGATTTGGACACTCATCCCATGCCAGCCTGAATGCTAGCCACATGACATAACCAGGAGATAAACTACTGCAAAGCCCATATAGAGAATAAAACCTTTCCTCCTCACACCCTCTTTCCCCCCTTACAGTTTCATTTGACAGCACTTGAAAGCTTAGCTATTTTGGAATTTGCCAGGCTTCAGAGTGGTCTGGGTCATTCGGTCAAATGCACATATTCAACCACATAGCATTAACTTTCTATTGTTCTGCCACAGGCTAGTGACTCACCAATATGCTTGCTCATCACTTCCAGTGCTCCAGTGCCTGAATAACTTTTGAATAATTCAAACATCCCTATTTGTCTAGGATGATGCTTGTCTGGAATGAGTTTTCTGAAAGCACTGACAGGACTCAGGAGCCAGAGTCTTACTGAGAAGACTTAAGGTCTCTGCTCCTAAAAATCTTTAAATGTTTTCAGAAAGTCCCTACACCATGTACCTTTTAATAGCACCTCATGTTTTGGTCAGTGAACCTAGAAAACTTTGACATTTTCTGGCTATAATATTCAGATATACTGTCCATATTCCACTGAAACAACCCAGTGAAGAGCAATACATGTGCCAAGACAGCATGCAAAAGATCAAATCATAATACATTTCTGCACCAAGTGTTCTTGTACATTCATGGTATTTCTCATTTCCTTATCCTGGAGGCCTAATGGAACTCAGTGTGGAATAAATAGCAATGAAATGCTACTGTACAGTCTTGCCAAATGAAAGTCAAAGCACATTTTAAGCTCAAACAACATGATTATTCAAAGACTGAATAGGCAAGTGTAGCACTGAATGCCAAATAAAGGGACATAAACAAGAGCGATGGCCATTTGCATGAACTGAATACCATGAAGTTGATAAAGTTGCAGACACAGAAATGAACTTAAAACAGTGCAGAATTCTATACTATTCTCACAAAAAAAACAAACAAACAAAAAAAAAACTTAACACAGTTACACTGGTCTCCCTTTGGTAGAAAATTAAGAATACTTACCATTCTTGGAGAGAATCACAGCCAAATATTCATGAAAGTAGGTGTTGAGGTACAGCAGAAGGCTTGGAGTATGTGCCGTGAGAAAGCTAAATGCAATATTTTCCTTGGACATGACAGCATCCGCATAAATGGCAGAGCTTGATGTGCTTGCATTTTTTGTGACAGGATAAGGTTCTTGGAAAATATAGGTAATGGAAGTGCCAGCTTCAAATAATGCAGAAACCTCTGAAAATATATATAAACCAAGGGAATAATTTCAGCTACTTCATTTTCAGATATCCAGACAGGCACGGACATGAAATGACTGCCTCAAAAGCAGAACACTGCAACATGCCCCTGACCCAGTTGACATCACTGTTCCTTAATTTGGACTAGCAGTCTGTCTGGTACAGAGAACGATAGTATATGGAGACAGGCTCTTTAGTGCTGGAATCAGAGCTCCACAAGATGGAACAGGCAAAAATGTTTGTCAGCCAAACAAACACTCG